CAGATCTATGAAGGCCGCTACTACCTTACCTCCCTTCTTCTTCACTTTTTTATTGATCAGGTAGTTTAGCACATATATACTGTCAATCACCCCCATTCCCTTCCTAAAGCCTGTTTGACTCTCCGGCAACATATTCCCCCTCTCTATTTCCTCCTTTAACCTTTCTGTTAGAATCCCCACATACACCTTATATAACGTTGGCATCAAAGTCACCCCTCTGTAGTTTTCACCCTATTCCCTTCCCCGTTCCCTTTTTTAACAGTGGTACTATTATCCCCTCTTTCCACCTCTCCGGCCATCCTTCCCCTCTCCAGACTCTGTTGCACATTTCCCATACCCACTCTTCTACCCTCTCTCCTCCATATTTCCATACCTCACTCGGTATCCCATCCTCCCCCGCTGCTTTTCCTTTCTTCAATTTTCCCAATATCCTCTTTACTTCCCCCCCTGCTTATCTCCTGCTCCTCATCCCTCTCCCTTTTCTCTTTTCCTCCTCTTACAACTTTAACCTCTACCCCTCCCAATAAGTCCATGAAATATTCCTTCCACTCCTCCGCTTTTATCTCCTCATTCACTCCTTCTCTCTTCTTCCTTTCCCTGTTTATAATTTTCCATACCTCTCCTTCCGTTCTTGCCTCTATCGCTTCCTTGTACCATCTTATCCTCTCCTCCTCCCTTTTTCCTTTACACATTAGCTTATATTCTGCCCTTTCTTTTCTGTATCCTTCTCCTCCTCCTCCTTTCTTCCTCCATTCCCTTAGCTTTCTCCTCACTTCTTTCCTCTTCTCCTCACATTCCTCATCCCACACCCTTTCTTTTTTCCTTCTCCACTCTCTTTTTCTCCTTCTCTCAATTCCTCTTCTATCCTTCCTATTTTTTCCTCTAGCTCCTCTTCTATTCCCTCTTTCCACCACCCCTCTCCCCATTCTATTTCCTCTCTTATTCTTTCTCCTCCCCTCTTCGTCCATCTCCCCTTTTTTTCTTATTCCTTTTCCTTCCTTCCTTTTCCCCTTTTCAGCACCTCCTCTTCTTTCTAACGTTACAATCAAAGGGTGATGGTCCGACTCTATGTTATCTCCCACCTCCATTCTCTTTATCTTTTCCTTTACTCTATCCTCTCCCACCACATAGTCTATCACCGATTCCCCTCTTCCTCCTGTATATGTGTACTCCCCCTCCCTATCCCCTCTAATCCCTCCGTTAAAAATTCCCCATCCCACTTCTTCTAGCTCTTTTATCAACTTCCTCCCATCCTCATTTACCTTCTTGTCCTTCGATCTTCTTTCCTCTTCCTCCTCTCCCTCCTATCACTCCCCCCCCTTCTACCTGTCCTTGCGTTGAAATCTCCTCCTAAAATCGTCCATTTGTCTTCTTCTTTTCTCTTCCATCCATTCCTTCATTTCCTCCATTTTCCTTTCCATGTCCCCGTTAATGTATATACCTATTACCCTCCACTTCTCTCTTCCTACCTCTAAATCCGCCATCATTATTCCCTCCCCCGCCTTTCTCCCATTCCTGATACTTTTATCCTTCCCCTCTCCTCCTTTACCCCCATGATCATTCCCCCCATCGGTCTTCCTTTCTTCTTTCTCTTCTTTGCTGCTTGCTTCTCCCATCTATAATCCTTTCGGTAACCTCTTTTTAATCGCCTCCCACCCCTTTTCCTCTATCCATGTTTCCATCATCACCACTACCTCCCAATCCTCTATTTCCTTCCAGAATTTTTCTTCCTTGTTTTTCACCCACCCTGCCACATTCCAAAAACCTATCTTCCATTCCTCTCTTACTTCTCCTTTTTCCTTTCTCTCTTGCTCCTTTCTTCTTTCTATCTCCGTCTCCCTTTCTCCCTCCTCCTTTCTCTTCTTACTACTCTTCTTCTCTTCTCCTTTCCTTCCTTCTTCTTCTTCTCTCCCCTCTTCTATCCCTTTTTTCCTCCATTCTTGTCTTCATGCCCCCCTCTTCCACCTCCATTTTCTCCATTCCTTCTCTAATTTCTCCTTTCCAGTTCTTGAGCACTCTTTCTTCCTCTTCCCATTTCCACCAAACATCATTGATTTTTATCCTACCGTAGCTTGTCCACACCTTGTTCCCTTTCCTCTTTTCTTCCTCCGCAATTTCCATTATTCTCCATTTCATCTTTCTTTCCTCCCATGTTAGGTCGTCCTCTATCCTCACCCTCTTTCCTCTTAACAGACTCTTTTTTCCATTACCTGTCTCTTTTGTTCTCTGCTGCCTAGTCTTACAACCACCATTTCTCCTTCCTTTCCCTCCTTTCCTTTCAACCTTCTTATCCATTCTATTTCCGTTTCCGCTCCTATTTCTTTCATTATTTTCTCCACTCTTTCTTTTATATCTTCCTTCCCTTCTTCTATTCTTCTTATCACGATGTTATTCCTTCTTTCTTCTCTCTCTTTCCACTCTAACTTCTTTCCTATGTCTCTCATTTTCCCCATTATTGACTCACCTAACCCCTTACTCCCTCCTTCTCCCCCCTCTCTTTCTCTTTTCTTCCTTTTTACTTCTCTTCTCTATTCTTGCCTCCAACTCTATCACCCTTTCCTCCAGTCTTTCTATCTTTTTTCCCATTTCTTTTCTTTCTTTCTCTCCATTCCCCTCCTTTTTCCATATTTCAATCTTCAATTTTCTTATTTCCTCACCCAACTTCTCTGTAATCTTCTTTCCTATCTCCTCCATCATCCTCTTTAACTCCTCTCTTTTTCTATCCCCCCTACTTCTCTGTTCAGCCTTTCTGTTTTTTTGCTCCTTCTCAGACTTCTTTCCTCTTCATCCTTATCCTCCTCTCCCCCTTCTTCCTTTTCCTTTTCAAGAAATCCTCTATACATCCCATACTGCTCCTCCTCTCTTTCGCTAACTCATCTACTCTTCTCGGCCTCCCTGCCTTCTTTTTTACTTCCTCCTCATCTCCCTTCTTTCCCCCTTCCTCAACCATCCTATCTCTAGTAGTCTCTATCCTCCTATCTCTACTATTCTCTTCACTACCATTCTTTTCCTCCTTATTCATTTTCCTCTTATCGCTTTCTTTCTTTGATTCACTTACTCTATGTTCTAATTCGCTCCAACTCGCTAGTGAATTCCCTATTGAATTCCCTATCTTTCTATCTGCACCTGCTCTCTACACCTACTCTCTTTCTTCCACGTGTCTACGTGTCCACGTGTCTCACCTTTTCCTGCTTTCTATTTTCTAACTCCTTACAATCCTTATAATATCATATCCTTTCAATCTATCCTCCTCTTTTTTTCCTACGCCCTCTCACCTCCTATCTCCTATTCTCCTCACCCCTTTTCTCACTCTTTCCTCACAAATACCTGCCACGCTTTCACACACCTGTCACTCACACTCTCACCGGAACCGGAAGCCTATATATATATATATATATATATGTATGTATGTTAATAATGCGTAATATATAGTATGATATTTATAAATATTAGATGTATTATAATTTTTTAATATTTTTAATTTATTTTTAATATTTTTATCAATTATATATAATAATTGGCTGATATATATATATATATATATATATATATATATATATTAATATTTAAATTATATTGCGCATGTGCGGACGTGCGTGCGTCACTTTTGCGAGAAAACTTCGTTCTCTCGGCAACAATGTTACATTGGATGTAATGCCGGATGTGCCGCATGGATTTTTAAATTTAATTAATGTAAAGCTTTTTTTTGTTTCGCTTTATTTAAATGAATTAAAACAGTACATTTACATTATATTATTTTGTTTTTGTTATTTTTAGGTTTCGAAAAAAGCGAGAGAAGGCATGAAACTTGGTGCTACAAGAATAAAAGAATTGTCAAGGCTATAATTGTGTAATATGAGATGCTAAAGTAAAAATATGTATTAGAATAACATTAAAATATGTATTAGTATAACATTGAAAAAAGATGGAGTGATATTTTGGTTAACACTACGGTTCAATCTACAACAATTTTTATATGCCGTTGAATTGTTGTTTAGTTCGACTAGCTCTTGTTTAGACGGACAATTTGAGCAGATATGTGGAACTCTCATGAGTTCTCCCTTATCACCTATTTTGGCGGATCTTGTCATGGATGACTTAGAAACACACTGTCGCGCTTTGTTGCAATTTGATATCTCAATTTACTGTAGATACGTCGATGATATTTTTACTATTATTCCGCGGACTGAGGTTGGCACTATATAATAATACGTTAAGTTTTTTGGATCCGATCTCTTCGAGGAGGTATTTAACTAAAAAAAAAAAAAAAAAAATTATTCGAACCATCCGTACAATTATAAATTCAACGTGATTAACAATTTGGTTGATCACGCGAATTTTATTGTCTGATGAACGTTTTCATGCCAATAACATAGCTATTGTTAAAAATATTTTATGGAATAATTGTTTTTTGTCTGATATGAATGACTATCACGTCCAAAAAAGATGGTACTTTTTGACTAAACGTGAAAACGAGATAAATAATGTGGATGCCAATGCGAGAGAATTCGATGTTTCTAATTGTATATTATTACCGTACATGAAAAATTTAAGTGAGAATATCAGCAGAACTTTGAAGAAGAGAGGCATAAAAGTAATTTACACAATACCAAAAAGACTTGACAAACTAATTAAATGTGGCATAGATAAAATTGATACGATTAACATGAGTGAAGTAGTTAATTTAATTTATTAAATTATTATTAAAATAATATAAATAGAATTCTTAAGATAATTATTGCGATAGTTATAACAATAATAAAATAAAGAAAATTATTAAGACAAAATATCGAAAGCGATGAGTACATTACGAGATATTACACTATATTATTTGTGAAAATTTTTCCCCCGTGAATTGTGAAGTAAAATATAATATATACCTACATACAATATTGTGTATATATATATATATATATATATATATATATAACGATTTCAGGAATTTTGTTGATCTACCACATCATATTTATCATGATGACATGTACAGAGAATCAGTCAGTCTTTCGTGGTCTTTCGAGCCATATCGTAGTAGATATAACAACTCAAATAATGTGCGTGTGAATAATTATATTCTTCGACCATTGCATACTGCTAAAACATTAATTTGCTGCAGTAATTTAAAAAATATATATTTTTCATCCATATAATTTTGCAATTAACATACTGTTCCGAAATATTAGGTAAGTCAAAATAAGTAGTATTATATAAAAATAAGTAGTAATATATAAAATATTTTATATAAATAATTTTATGTTATAAATTTTATGTAAAATATTTTATATAAAACGCTCAAAACAGATGTTAATATTAAATTAGAAATGAATAAACATTAGTTCATAGCGATTTAATAAGATACTCCATTAAAGTAGAAACGTTTTTGGATATTTAAATTAAATTTAAAGATTCAAATTTAATTTTAACTTTTTATTTTTTTTATAAATAAAAACAATAAATTACATGTATTAATAGATATATTGATGGTGAGAATATATATAAAAAAATAATATCAAATAGAAAGGTTTGATAAAATAAGCATTGATAAAGATTATAATTTTTGTACTTAAACTCATTGTCAGTATTAATTATACATTATACAGTAAAATGATAGAACATACTAATTGACAATCGAATGAAAAAATCTATAATATTATAAATTTGAATCAATTGTTAACACATCTATTTTGATGCGTATAATCTGAAATATCTAAAAAAACCCACTATATACAGGAATCCCAGAAATTGTAGTAAACTTGTTAATAGTAGATTTTTGAGATTATTTGGAGTTAATGTTTCCTCCGCGAAAATGTCGAGATAGACTAACATTATTTACATGTTCCCAAATTTTTCATCATATATCTTTGTAAGTAATCAAACCTTAAATTAAAGTTCTATAATAATAACTCTACTTAAAGTTAAATGACGAATGTGATTTTGTTAATATTTCATTTCCACAAGGTTTAGTTTGAGGAAAATCATTTATTTTCAATCTCTTATAACTCGACATTTATAAATACTTCCACATTTTCGCTGAGGAATAATCGTCTCCAAATGATATCAGGTATCTGCTTTTAACAGATTTACTGCTAGTTCTGGAACATTTTATATATAAAATTTATTATCATATTTATAATTTATACAATTTAAAATTAAATTTATGTTGGCTTTATTCTCGGTAAATGTTCGTTTAGAGTTTATAATACACAATTTAAAAGAAGAAAGCAAACAAACCTTTATAGGAACAAAATAATAAACATATGCCCTCTTTTTCTCTCTCGCCGCTCTTCAGTCTTTCTTATCCATACTGTCTTCTTATTTTGAATGTACACACACGTACGTATGTATGTAGAAAGAATGGCTCTTGTGTTTATTAAAGTAATTTACTTCAGGCAACTAATTTTATATACTATAAATCTTTATATTCCATATAATATTCTATACATTTTAAATGTTTTGCATATTGTTTTCTGACCATATAATATTTCAATAATTAGAATGGTTTTTCACTTAATAATTTTAATACATTTTGTATTTATTTTTTTGTTTATATAGAAGAACATTATACATTTAAAAAAGACATCTAAGCTATATTTAATTTCTTTATTTATCTTTTGTCCACAGTGTTCTACAGATCTGAAATAAATATTCCTTTTTTTTGACATGATGATATTTCTAAAACTATTATTAAGTAGCGGATTCATTTTTATTGCTGTGACGGCTTTCATTCGTAATGAATCTTTGTGCTATCAACCATCAAATAATATAAAATCAATGCATTACGATATCAAGCTTAAATCATGTATTGAAGGAAATATTTTTTATGGAGAATACAATATCAGCATAAACATTCTTGACAAAACGCAACACATATATTTACTTTCAGAAAAATTATGTATTGACAATATAGTTATAATTACAAATTTTAAAAAATATGAAAATGATAAAGATACAGTTTATAAACCGACATATAATACTGAAGAAGACCCAATTGATATTTCCTTCATGAATGAGTTATCACCAGGAAATTACATTTTAAATATAAAATATTTTGGCACTGCTGATAAAGGCTTTAAAATTTTCGACGCGAAAAAGCTGGAACTGTGTAAGTAAATAATAAATAATATATGTGATATTTTATAAATCGGCCAATAGAGCCAAAGCGCGAAAAATTAATTCTTTAGAACTGTATCTGTTGGTTTGAGATTACTAAGTTTCATATATAAATTAATTTCGAACTTACATATGAAGAAAATAGGCGAGAAAAATGTAGGTCCGAAAAGTCGCTGAAGCGGGAATCGAACCCGCGTCTTTCACTTTCCGAGCAACTGCTCTTACCAACTAACAATAAGCTATTCAAACCCTTTCGATTCTATATTTTTCATTTGCCTTTTTAGTAGATGTTAGTTTTCGGACCTATATTTTTCTCGCCTATTTTCTCCATACATAAGTTCGAGATTAATTTATATATGGAACTTAGTGATCTCAAACCAAGAGATACATTTCCGAAGAATTAATTATTCGCGCTTTTGCTCTATTGACCGATTTAAAATATCATATATTATTCTTAATATTGAGAGCCGATAAAACTATTTCTCATTTGATTAAATAATAAATGTTTATTAAAAAGAGTACAATATGCAGTTACATAAGATGTTGTAATTAATATACAATTTATGTATTAATGTCTCAAAAATTATTGTATATAAATCTAATAAGAGAGAGTAAATCTCTCTCTCTCTCTCTCTCTCTCTCTCCCTTTCTTTACTTTTATTATTACAATAATATACAATAAAGTCATAAAATATAATGTGTTGACGCATATGACATTTATACATTTTTAAATTCCCAATATTTTTATGCTTGTCAAAAAATGTCATTAATTTATGTTCTTCGAAATGTAGTTGGGTAGGTGCTCCGCATTTCCAGATAATAGGCGGCCGACAAGCGTTTCCATGTTGGCATTCAAATAATTTATCGTTAGACGCAACCTTTAACATTTCTTTGGGATGTCATCACTGCACTACTTTGTCAAACATGCCATTGCGAAATACGGAAAAAGATGAGAACAATATGTTATGGACAAACTACATTACCACATCTGTAATGTTGATTCATCACGCAACAATGGTTGTGTCTAATTGATATCAAAACTCAATACATTAAAATGTGGTGCAGAGTAGAAACTAAATATCACATGCAATTTGCAAAATATGTAGCTGATAATATCACGTTGTTTTTTCAAAATAAATGGATACGTTTGGACAATATTTGGAACGTGAATCATGTTGCAATTCCAAATTTCCATGACAAAGGCATAACAGTTTTCGGACTTGTTTTTATAGGTGAGTACTACTGCTTCAATTTACATTAAAAATAAAATTATATTTGTATGCAAAATTTAAAAACATGTATGTCTTTTGTTTCTGTAAACGTTCAAAAGTATAAAGAATTACGAAAACATTAATTTAGTGGAATAAAATTTATTCATATTATTTTGCAAAGTTAAAGTTTACTGTTTTAATACGTACATAAACGGCAAAATATGTATGTTAAATCGTACCCTCTAAGATAAGTGTTAAAACTGTAATAAAACTATTAAAAAAATGACATTTTTTTATTTATTTCAAATTATTGTTTTTTTTTCACAATATTCACATTAACAGAAATTTATCGTTGTTTCATATTGTAAATTAAAAAATAAAGATATTATTTTGTACGACTTACTGATTTGCTGCATTGTACTTATGAGTTTGTAAATTGTATATCTAGCAATTAAATTCAATTATTTTAACAAAAATAATGTTATATTTTCTGTAAAAGTTCTCAGTCTTAACATTTAAATATATCTTTCAGGGAAACAGATATCATCTACAATAAAAAATTATGTCCTATTGCTAACAAAATCGAAGTAGCTCAATTAGTAGGATGTAAAGTGACACAGCAATGGTTTATTGACATGATGAACGATTCGTCAGTGTCGGACTTTTGGTTTAAAAAAGGTCTTACTACATGGCTTGCAACGTATGCTGTCGATCAGGTTATTTTAAATATTGTCAATGCTATCTTGTTCTCAACTTTTTGCAAACGATATGATACTTAAGCATTTATATTGCAAGATATTCTTAAATCAAATCCTTTTTACATAATCTACATATACATATTCTTTGTGAATTGTCTTAAAAACATTTAGCAATTTATAAAATAAACAACTGTTTTTTAAAAATAATTTTTTTACATATTTACATACATAAAATTATCATTTATTTTTTAAAAAATTTTAATATTTAACACCACCTTATTAGACATTATTAAATTTTATATTAATAAAATCTAAAATGAAATAAAATAATCAAAAACTAATACACATAATATTTATTTTCAAAAATTTGTTAAAAAGAAGCCTGCAATATATTATCATAAGACAATAATTTAAAAAATATGTAATGTTTGTTAATTATATCAATACAAAATTTTAGATTATATTATATTTATTTTAACGTGCGTTCTGCAAAATAAGTGTTATTAGTAGTTATAAGAATAAAATAACGTTATATAACAATATTAATATTTGTTTTTAATTCAAGTATTTTAAGAACGGGTATATTGATATATTAATAATTTTTTTCCATAGACTTATCCTGATTTTCAAATAATAAATTTATTTGTAGTTCAAAATCAACATTACTCTTTTAATTTGGATGGTTATTATATGTGGCCTTCTACTTCACAAGTTAACAGTTCATTAGAAATCCCCAATTCTATCAGAGGTATACAAAATATAATAAAATAATCCTTGTAAATTTTTAATTATAAATATTTTAAAGTATGTGTAAAATTAAAAAATTATTATTTATTTATTTAGATTTTAATTTGTAACGAAGCACCTTTCCCGACGCCACGGATCGGCTCGCCGGTGCCAGGATTCGGGAAGAGGGGAGACTCAGATTTACAATGACACACGGTTGCTCTGGTAAAAGTAGAGTTTATTCGGGGCCACCTTCCTGTGGTTCTCCCGTGATTCAAACCCTTATACACAGCACAGTATAATCGGACGAAACGCGACCAGATGATACGGACGCGGACACGACTTATTGCTAGGATTGACGGATAGAAATATTACGGACGAGACGCGACCAGATTATACGGACGCGGACACGACTTATTGCTAGAGTTTCCAACGCGGACACGCGTACGGGCGCCCTGAGAAGGGCGAGCTCCGTCGGGCGCCGGTGACTTTCAGGTAGGGCCCGGTGACCGAGAACGCTCGGCCTGCACGACGAGAACGCTCGTCGGCCGGGGTGATTTACGGACAGGACCCAGTGACCGAGGACGCTCGGCCTGCACGACGAGAACGCTCGTCGGCCGGGGTGATTTGGAGTGTGGGAGTTGAGGAGTGATCCCTGAGTACGCTCGAGGGACCAGGACGGGACTGGTGCCGAAGTCTCGGCTGCGCCGCTCTTTATACCCGTCGGCCACCCCACTCTAAGACTAGCTTGGAGGGGGCCGAGTGACGGGTGGGGGCGAAAAGGCGGATTCCCAACGTGTTCGTGTGGTGGCCCCGAAAGGGGCCGTTTACATGAGCGCGGGCGACTAGTGACGGCTAATCGGGTCGTCACAAATTAAATATTATTTTTATAAAAGTACACACCCACCACGCATGCACAAAATGTCCGGTAATAGCCGCACATATGTAGATAAAGGAAATTAATTAAATGATCCTTCAAAGATTTGCTATAAATAAAATGATAAACGGTGCGGCAATAAAAAACATTTTACTTTTACGCGATTATTACGCTGTATACATATACATATGCGATATATAATTTTCCTTGAAAAAATCATTATGTTTACAAATAACCATCAAAATAAATATATATTTATAATATATCTAATTCACAATTTTTATGTAAATTGTAGCACCCTTTATACTGCGCATGATGCAACACGTCCTCACAGATGAAATATTTCAGAAAGGCATAAGGACATATGTATATAAGTAAGTCATACGATAAGTGTGAGTAATACAATATAGAATATAATATAAAAAAAATAAAATTGTACAACATAAATGTAATAATAATAAAAGTATTATATAACGTCCCCTTATTTTCTTTCGTTTCTTCTGACATTATTTTATAATGTATTTTTCTTAGTGTTACAATTTCGCTATTTTTCTAGATCTTCTACTAGAATTATTTTTAAATTCATTAATTTCCTATGAAAACCGTTTGTGTAGAAAGAAATTGTTGTATAATCGTTATTTTCATTTACATATATTTATTGTTGTTTTATTTTTGTTACATGATTTGTTATTTTCCTATAAGCGCATGATATTATTTAATATTTAAGCAATATTCTAGGCATATTTTTATAATATTTAATATTCTAAGAATACGCTTAGCACATTAAATAATATTATGCGCTTATAGAATTCTTTTAATAATTTTGAAATTATTTATATTCATTTTACTATTTCCTTAATTTCTATATTTCATTTATAATTCTTATAATACCTGTTTTTTTAATTGCACATTGTGCCACATTTGCTTTCTAATCTTAGTTAACAGATTTTTATATATATAACATTTATATCTCTTTTCCATTATTCTTTTTATTTTTATTTTCTCTTTTTTGTAAATCGATCTCTTTTATGTTATTTTTCTTATTTTTCTTTTGTTTTCAACTTCTTATTAGTTTTTTTTTTTTAATTATTTTATATTTTCTGCATACTTTGCTCAAATATAATCTTTATTAATGCTAATAATGTTTAAAAAAATTAATAAAATTATTAAATGTTATTTAAAATTATGTTATATTCTTTATTATCCATATATAAATATAAAATATAAATAAATATATAAATAGAAGTGCAATTTTATATTTTGCTTCTTAGTATTTATTAAAATTTTTTAATATTAACACATTAACAGACAATTTTAACATATTTATAATATTCTATTATATATTTTGCATTTTATGTATTTAGCTTATCACATAGTGACTTTATGGAAGTTATGAGACATCCAGCTTTAATAGCAAATGATGATATTATTTTACAACAAACAAAAATGGAAGATTGGGCTTTGGAAAAGTATTGTCCTCTCATTAAAGTAGAACGTAATTATTCTGATTCAATGAGCCCAACAAATGTACGGATACAATATGACGACACATTAAAAATTCGCTGCATTTCTGTAACTTTCACTACGCAAACATTTCCCGATTTTAACAATTTTACTCATCATATGGTATGCACGGAAAAGGATTTGAAATTATCATTACCATTTGAAGAAAATGGTTGGATGATTTTTAATATACAACAAACTGGTAAATATTAACCAATGTACTGCTTATGACGACTTATTTTCCGTCTATATTTTGCACACATATATTTGACAATATTTCATATTTTAGTTTATTTTATTTATTGTCCTATATCAATCTGAGATATTTATTATATAACTATAACAATTTCAAAATGTTTTGTGTAATTTTCTGCATTATATATATAATATTATATTTAAGATACATAAGTGTTTTCTAAATAATATTATTCAATATTAATGTTATATTTTTACAGGTATTTTATATATTCTAATAATAGTAAAATTATTAAAAAGATAATTATATTTGTAAAATTAATAATAATAAGTCTAGGTTATACAATTATCATAACATTACATATTACGAAAATTATGTATATCGGAGAGCATAAATTATTACTATTTATTCACAACTAGTATCAATTTTATTTAATGATATACAACAATATCTTGCACAGTTTTACTTTTTCGATTATTTCAAATATTAGGATTACTAATTTTTACGAATTTATTATTAGGATTACATTTTTATATTTTTTTCAATAAAAGATTAGAGCATGAGTCGGGTTTCTTTATTGCCACACCTCGTAATTAATTTTCTATATGTATTTGCATTTTATTTATATGTATTACATTTTTGATACGTTTTAATTTATAATTTATATAAACAGAAATATGAAACCAAAATGTTTGAAAATGAATACATTATAATGATAAAATTATTCAAAACAATAGAAATTGATAAAATTTATTTACTATTCGACAGGATATTATCGCGTTAACTATGATGAACGGAATTGGCAAAGAATTTCAAATTATCTAAACTATAATAATTACAACAAAATTCATGTTCTTAATCGTGCCCAAATTATCGATGATGCATTTCATTTATTGATAGCAGGCCAACTCCATTCTTTTGTATTCTGGGATATCATAAAATATTTGCAACGAGAAAGAGATTATATAGCATGGTATCCTTTTTTTAAAGCTCTGGAATACTTGTCCAGTACTTTTATAGTCTTGGAAGAAGAAATTGAAAAATTGACGGTAAATATTAATAAATTTCAGTGAAAATGCATTTCAGATATTTGCATATGCACTCATTTACTAGAAAATGTTTAAATAGTTAGAAAAACATATACCGCAACGTTAAAATTTTACATACTATTATACTATTATATGTATGTATGTTTATTTCATAGAAAGAGAAAATTTTAAGAATCTATTGGAAAATAATGAAAAATATATTATTTTTAAATACATTTATAATCTGAACGTATAAATATATAATTAACGATTTTTAGTCTGAAGTAAGACAAATATTACACGAGATACTTACAAGAATCGAATATGAAGAAATTGATGATACAGACGTACTTAGAAACTGTTTACGACAAGAAGCTGCAAGATGGGCATGTTTTTTCGGTGACATCACTTGTAAGAGAGTAGCCAATAATAAATTAACACAACATCTCCAAGATCCTGCAAAATACAAGTAAATATTGTTACATATTTTTAGTTTTTTTTAATCAAATTTTTTTACAAATATCGCTTATAATGTTCAAATGATTTAATCAAAAGATCCATATGCTAAGCTTTAATAAGAAAATTTAATTTTTTTTCTATTGTAGACTTTTGCCATGGTGGAAGGAATGGACATATTGTAAAGGTTTGATGACTACGAAAAGCGAGTCCACTTGGCACTCAGTGTTTGATATAGGAGTGAATAAAGCTGACATTAAATTCTTGGAATACTTAGCTTGCCCTGAAAATATTGATGTCATCATTTATTACTTAGAATATAAAGAATATCATCTTACGAGGAGAGGAGATTATCAGTTTCAATTTAACAGTTTCTTACATATTATTACGAAGCATGCAAAGAATCTAATTATACTGAAATACATATTAGATTATTTTAACGAATTAAAACCAAAGTAATGAGACATATTTTTATAAATATTGTGTACAAAAGTTTAATATGTGTGTTATATATACAATTGCTTTTTTGTTTTTAGAAATGTTAGTACAACTGCAGCATTAATTACTATTATTAACAACGTATATTCTGTAAATCAAACTAAGGTAAAAATTTTACGTGTTTATATATGTATACAAAATGTGATGATAATAATGCAATATTTATAATTATTATTTAATGTTTAAAATAATTTTGATAATGTAACATCAACGTTATTTATTTATGATGTTAAAAAACTAATACATTTTAGGAAATAAACAAATACGTTCAAAAGGTAAAGGCCGAAGCAGATTTATTTGATAAAATAAAAAACACAAAACATTTTAACAGTTCTCACATAGAAAAGGTAAATAAATATTATTGTGGAAAACGAATGTAAGAGAAATATAGTTCTGTCTTATTAATTTATGAATATTAATTTTATATTTGTTTTGTTTATTATATAAAGAGGATATTAATTTCATAATGCAAATCTTTATTTATATATATTAGATTTTTATAAAGCGGATTTCTGATAAAATTGAAAGGCAGATATCAATTCGCAACATGCAAATCAAAAGACAGAGAGAGTGTTTTGGCAGATTTTTCTTCTGGTAAAACAATTTTAAATAAAAAAAATTGCAGCTTGGCATGGGTGGATATACTTCATATAAATAATTTTTTTATATTGTATGTACTTTATTTGTATGTAATTTATTTTACTGTTTTAATTATTATTTATTTAGATGTATTACTATTCGTTGCCTTTGTATTTACAAATATTTATGACTGCATGCATCAAGTTTTTCATTTTTTTATAAACTTGCTCTATGTAATTGAACTATATATTATTGCCTATGTCCACAAGAAGATAGCCATATAATATTACTATAAATTGGTAGATAGAAAATAAGAATATAAATGTATAATTATAAGTAATATATAAAATTATATACACACACACACATATATATATATATATATATAAATATATATATATGTATATATATATATATATATATAATTGGTCTAATACAAAGAATATCGTATATAAGGATTATTTTTAATTCCTGCATAATTCTTAAAGATACTAATGACATATTTATGTTCAGTAATTATAAATAATAAAAATAATAATTAATACAATAACTAAATATTCTATGTAAAAATTAGAAATTAGGAGTGAATATATTATAAGAATGTGTGTGAGAAATATTATTACCTTTAATTTAATGCGATAGTGTTACATACAATTAATTATACATATACAGGGTATCTCTAAAGTCCGTTACCACCCCTAATATTTCGGAAATGAATCAAAATTTCAATAAATCGATTTTCAAGGGAGGTCGCCTCCCTTGGACTCCCTTGAGGGGCGATCCTCTTCGATTCCCTTAGAAGAGTAGCCCCTTGAAATGATCGAACACGTGTTTTGCGATTTTTCGAAATTTTGATTCATTTCCGAAATATTAAAGGTGGTGACGGACTTTAGGGACATCCTGTATACAGGTTCTTGTTAAAACAATTCCTGTAAAAAAACATTGTTTCTCTGTTCATATACAAACATCGCGAATTTGTTTAAGTTGTTTTACATTAAAACTTTCTTTTGTAAAAATGTTGAGTTTATGTAAACAACGACATATCTATAGCATTTAATTATTTTAATTTTGGATAACATTTTGACTTGTATAAATTGCTGGAATTCCAGCGGCTAGCAAAATTTGATTCCTGCATCAAATTTACAAGTAAGATTCTGCGGCAAGTTTTTGAAGTAGCTAACATTTAAATATTTTATTGGATTCATCGCCATAGATGCACCTCCATTGATGACAACATACTTGTTAGAGATAAAGACTCTAAAGAAGCAAACTTATTATCGGTTACATATTTTAAAGATGTGAAAGATTCACACCATCCTTCCGGTGAAAAATTTAATTTGTTCTCCGACAGATCTAATATTCTTGAAAGTGAAAGTTGAGAAAACGCTTTAACATTAATCCTGACAATCTGATTCTTCGCCAATAACAATTTTATCAACTTTGGCATATGCGCGCAAAAGCATTCGAACTTAAATTCCTACGTTACAATTAAGAGACAAAATGCTGATTGCTATTTCATTTGACATCTGCGGAACATTTTCGTGTATGTTGAAACTTAATCTCAAAGACTGCAATTTTGCAAATATATCTGGATGTAAACAGTTTATATTATTTATGGATAAATTTAAATAGATCATCGATATTTTTGAGACAAACAATTTTTTTTATCGGAAAAAATATAAAATTTTTTCCGATCTCCTTCCGGAAGAACATCAGGAAAAATATTTTAATTGTTTAAAAATTATTTATGAATATGTATACCTATAGATATAAATTAAGAACATATTTATAAATTATATATAATTTTTAAAGGACTATGTAATTATATAATAAATCTTATAGTTATTAAATAATTAATTTTAAGAAATTAATTAAACCATACAGGATATCTTATTTTAAATGGTGCATTTATTTTTAAAATAGTTATATGTTATTTTAAAAATTATAGTGGTTTCCGTTTAAAAAAATAATAATTACCTGATGATATCAAAAATATCTCCACCTGAATAAGACTTTGCTTATGACATGATATCACGCTCGTAATCGTCTTCCAATCATTTTTTTTATAAATAAAACATATTTTAATGGAATGTTATACCAATACACAGTGAGAAAAGTCGACACAACTGGTAATAATTTATTGACGCTTAATTAAAATACAACGTTTCAACTGTCATTACGGTCCTTCTGAAGTATATCCATGAACATTAACACCAACTTTAATTTAAACATTTAAGTTATATATATTTTATATTTTACAGTTACATACAATCACATAACGCAATTATATCTAAGAACACTAAAAATATATTTTTTTGGAAGAAAAGAATGTCTGAAGCACTAATTAGAGCAAAAATTATTTTACGAAATAATCTCAATAATGTACCAATAAAAAAGTCATTTATAGATTTAGTATAAACTGTATAAGATTTTCTTAGTTTCTCAATAAGTATTTTCAGAGTTTATTAAAAAAGGAAAAAAATTAAAATTAAAATGCATTTAAATTGTTGTTGCAATATTTTAATCATGATTGTTTCAAAAAAATTATTACGAATTTGATAAAGAATAACAAAAGAAAATTAAAATTATAAAACACAAGAATGCCAGCTGTAATAGTAGTGTATGTAGTAGTTCTTAATATATTTAAGTTATAAACAAAGAGAGAGTAAAAGATCGACTGATCTAGACAGTGAAATTGCGCGAGTTTACGCTGACATTCAGCAACGGCGCGTGAAGTGAATGTCCGTATTTAATAAAAAAATATTTTGTCATTGTTACAGACTGACTTATAATAAATGCAATGATGATGCCAGTAATGTTGTACGTGAAATTCAATGTACGTTCTAAATTAAAAACTGACTTTATATTATATAAAGTTGGAAATTATTTTTAGAAATGCTCTTTCAATGCTTTCAATGCATATATTATAGATATAAAATTGAGAAGATTTTGAAGTATTTTTTGCTAGTATTTTTTGAAGATAAAAATCGCATACATTAGTTATTAATCATTAGTATACAAAAAGTGAATTCTATCAGTTTTAAAAATTTTACATTTTATTTTATTCAATTAGATAAATTTGATAAAAATTTATATAATTAAATGTAGATAATATAATTGAAAAATGACTTTTGGTGATTAAGACAATTATATTTGTTTTAAATATAAATTATATATGTTTTATTAAAAAATTACAAGTATTAATAAATTTATTATACATTTGTATACAATTATAAATATATTATACAGAGACATGATGTACTGTATATGTTATATTCTTTATACACATAAAAATATTGCTCTTATAAATATATATTATAATACATTATAAAAACATAAAAAAATATGTTCTATATTATAGATAGATAGAATAGTTAATTAATTCAACCATTATAAAAAATCTAATAGGTATTACGATTCATATGCTAATACTTGTACAATATCGAATAAATCGGTACATTCTGGGTCATATTCTGGGTCATTGGAATATAAAACTCGATATGAAGTTCGATGAAACATTTTTTTCTATTTCTCTTTTAATATGTCCTTAAGGTTGTTTTGTTGTTCAGGTGTCAGTTCATGTATGAAAGAAAGCTCAAAGACGATATTTGCTGAAATAAATAAATTTTCATGAAAGATTTGCACATAAAAGGCTAATTATGTTAGTGATCTTTTCATCACACATCACTGTTAAATAGCTGTATTTTAATAATTTAATTTTCTAAATAAGATCTTATCATTTATAATCATTATATGAACCGTGAAAAAATAAAAATATTAACGTAAAATATAATCAGATTTATATATTCCTTAATCAAATAATATGAAATATTATTTGAAAAAGCTCTTTAGACAACTTTTTTTTAAATTACGAATTCTTTGTAAACTAAAAATTAAAAGATAATAAAAATTGATTAGAATACTGTCGTCGTCATAATTGTCTAATTTTAAAATGTGAAATTGAAGATTACAATATGGAAAAAAATGTTCATGATTTATAGCAATAAAATCTTATAATGAATATGTACATTTTATATTAATCGACATTATATAATAAATTATAAAAAAAGTCATTTTTATCACTTATTCAAAAATATGTTGTGTCTTGATTCAAGAAGTATACTTTTACTCCAGACGACGCGACGCAGGACTGTCTGCTTGGACCCAAAGAGGACATTGAATGAAAAATTCTTCTCGAAATCCTTTGACAATCATATTAAAAGAAATTATTTATAACGCAAATTCGTCGCCAGATTTTTAAATGTAGCAAATTAATGTATTTTTTTTAAAGACATTGGTTCCGATTTTGTGCAGCATTTAGATATGATATTTACAATAAAACTTAAAGAGAATGCAAAGAATTGTTTCTTATTACTTAAAATGAAAAAGGTGATGATTCGAGATAAAATTTAAATAAAAAAAAACACACTTTTGTAAAATGCGACAAAAATTGCCAGAGATTTAACATCCAAGATTCGACGTTGCATCTATTCTACGTTTTACTACTTGATTACGACCTCTGTTTTGTGCTACAAAGTACGATGCTTCATTATAAGTTATATATTCATATTTTGTGAAATATATATATATATATATATATATATATATTTATATTATTTCTATTAAAAGCGTGATATAATTTTTATTTTATTATTTATTATTATTTTTTATTTTAAACGCTATAATTATATAACATAGATATACACTTCAAAATAAAACAGTAACGTAGAAATTAAAATATTTCTGAAAATTCGAAATTATTCATTTTTGGGCAATATACACGGTGTCCCAGACGTACCGTATCACACGATAATGGAAGATTCCTGAGACGAATTGGAAATGATTTTTCCTCAGCAAAAACTTAAATATATCAAATATATAAAATAATTTATAAAAAATACATTTAATATAAATTATATCCCAAAAAGTGTAACTAAATACATAAAACAGTTGAGAAAATTTTATATAGATAGGTGCATCTAGCTTTCATCCTATCCGAAAAAATAAATTAAGAATCGTACAAATTATGATGTAACATCGCGTAATAACAATAAATTCACATGTTCAATTAATAACATTTTTTCAATAACACCTTAAAAAATTCTGCTTTTTACGCATTATTTTACAATATTTTACACATTATTCAGATTTTTATATTGTTCAGTAAAATTAGACTTGAAAAGGGCAAAATTTCATAAAAATTAGGAACAAGCTGAATTGTTGAGGAGGCTTTTATGTCGATGTTCTAATAAAATCCTGAAAATTAAGTATCCTTAATTTTATCCAGCGCGTTTTTTTATAGGGAATAACCTTTTGTTTTTTGACATTATTTTAAAAACTATCAATTTTTTTAGAAAAAAAGTTATTATTAAAATTATAGCTCATAAAATTCTCTACAAAAAAGGTTATAATTGGTTTTTTTCGTACAACTAATCGTTTTGAGTACAACGGTAAAGTTGCAATGTCTGTAGTTCGTAAAATATACTCCTTTCTACCCAGGAAAGGTCCACTTTAAGTGTGACTCTGGATGGACAGTTTGACATCGTTTGTCTAATTTTATATCATATAAAATATGTTAAGATTTATTTGATTTTATTTGAATTATAATTCGTTTTAATACGTTATTTTAAGACTTGAAGAGAACCTAAACCAAGGATCGAAACGTCGTCTATATGTGACATCTTAAGAATAAAGAATATTTTTGACAGTCGGGTCGTTTTTTTTAACATTAATAATTGTTTCTATTGCAAGTATTTTTCGAATGATTATCAATATCGATATACTTAATAATTTTTTTATAGATTTATACAGAATATCAAATAATAAATTTATTTGTTGTTCAAAATCAACATAATTCTTTTTCTTTGGATGGTGATTATCATATATGGAATTCTCCTATACAAGACGACAAATTCTTATTAAAAATTCGCGAATCTATCAGGGGTAAGATGTAATATAATAAAATAGTCCACGTAAATTTTTAAATATAAATATTATAAAAATATGTAAAAGTTATAATATAAGTAATTTTTTATTTGGATTGTAATAATATATTACTAATTATATAATATAATAATATATTATTAAAATTTTATAAATGTACACGCATACATACACACACACACATACTCACACACATATGTACGTGCATACGTATTTATGTATATTATTTAATTAATATTTAAAGTATATTTACACACACACAAATACACAAACACAAACAATACAGATATTTGTATGTAATTTGCAACTAGAAGCTTCATAGTTTTCCTTAAAAACTATATTGTTTTTATCGAAAATATCGACATTTCTCATTATTTTACATGTATGTACAAAATTATTGAGATGAAATTGTAAAAATATGAATATTTCTTGAGATATTATATTTACGTTTATATAAAATAACGTATTAAAGGTTTAAAATATCTTATAAGATTATTTTTATAATTATCTTATCCTTACAATTTATTGTTTTGATAATGAATAATGCGAGAAATCGATTTATAAAAAATTAAGATAGACTTATTTAAAAAATAGTAATTTTTAAATGACAAAAATTGGCCCTTAGGAAAAAGTCAGTAGCGTTCGCTTGTTTTTCTTTAGGAATTATAACACTTATGCAACAATCATACAACTTTTACTTAAAACGTTTTTCTTTAAAATAAATTATTCAAGAAATCATTGTTTAGGGATATTTGAAATAAAATAATTTGTGTACATGTATGTATATATTCTATGCATCAAAGTATTTAATTATAATTACTGAAAATTGAATATTTTGCAAAATATTTTACGTTTTGTCGAAATATTGTCAACTTCAAACCTTTATAATTCGAAAAGTACTTAATGAAAAAATGTTTTATTATAGTGTTTTAGTTAGGTCTCAACATTAACTATAAGAATATGTAATACAAAATAGAGGATTCCAATTAAACTTTTAATGTTGACATTGACCGTGCTATTCAAGGTCATCTCGAAGTCAAAGAGTCATAATATCATCGAATAGTTTTTTCAAGTCCTACTCTTTTTGTTTGAAATATTTTTTTATTAAATCAATATTTTCTGAGATATTTTGCCGTTCCGGAACTTTTGCCCCACTTTATATATTTTGTGTGTGTGTGTGTGTATTTATATAGATAAAGTGTACGGTAATAACCACGGATATGTAGGTAGAAAAAATTGAATGGTCCTTTAATGTTTTGCTATCTTCGTAAGAATTAACGAAAAATTTTATTTCACTGTTTCGCGCGATTACTATCTTGTATACATATAAAATATAATTTTTCTTTTTAAAATCATTATGTTTACATATAAACTTTAAAATAATTATATATTTATATTATTATATATCTAATTCATAATTTTGATGCAAATTATAGCACCTTTTATACTGCGCATGATGCTACACGCTTTCACCGAAGAAATATTTTGGAAAACCGTTCGCACACACTATGTATTTAGCAAGTAAGTAATATAATAAAAAATATAATAAAAATATAAAATTGTGTAAAACTATTATATTTAATTTTATTATTCTTACTACGAAACTGCTTTTGTAGAAAGAATTTGTTGTTTTATCGTTGTCACTATTTCATAATGTTGTATTTAATGAATGATATGGCTAAATCGCTTTTATTGTAAATAACAAAGATAGAGAATTTATTGCTGTGAGATCTCACAGCAATAGATTCTCGATCTTTGTTATATTTAATGTTGTTTTGTTTATCTTTGTTTCACGATTTGTCATTTTTGATAATAATTTATAAATTATTTTTATTTTATTATTTCCTTCATTTCTTTATATCATCTATAATGTTTATAATTTTTTTTTGTTTAATTGCATTTTGTGCTACATATGTTTTTTAATCTTTTATTTAATAGGTTTTTGAATACCTAAGACATATCTTTTTTCCATTATTTCTCTATTTTTATTTTCGTCTTTCGTAAATCGATCTTTTTTATATTATTTTTGTTTTGTCATTTCTCATGTTTTATCTATTTTTTAATTATTTTATAATTCTCTCAATACTTTGCTCAAATAACATTTATATTATGCTAATGGCTAAATAACTTAACAAAATTATTAAATTTTATTTAAATTTCATTTAAAATTGTTATATTCTTTATTACTATAATATAAATATAAGATATATAAATATATAAATAGAAATGCAATTTTATATTTTACTTTATAGTATTTATTAAAATTGTTTACACTAATAACGTTATACAGACAATTTTAACATATTTGTTCTTTTATATATTTTACATACTATGTGAATTTAGGCGAAGTATGGGTCACTTTCTGGAAGAAATTATTACTGCTGTAAAAGAACATAGTGCTATGGATATAATCAATAAGTGGTATATGGAAAAGCATTGTCCTATTATAAAAATAATACGAGATCGTAAAGTTAATAATACGGATATTGTGACCGAAGTAAATGTATCGATACAATATACCGACACATTAAGCGTTTATTGCGTTTTTGTAACTTTTACTACGCAAACGTTTTCCGATTTTAACAATTTTACTCATCATAAGGTATGCACAGAAAAGGATTTGAAATTATCATTAAGATTTGAAGAAACTGGTTGGATAATATTCAATCTACAACAAATTGGTAAGTCGATGATGCATTTCATTTAATGATATCAACCAATGAACTTATTATGACTTATTTCTCGTCTTTATTGTACATACACATAATTGACATTATTTTATATTTTTTATTATTTTATTCATTGTCCTATAAAAATATAACTACAATAGTTTTAAAATAGTTTTTATGTAATACTCTGTATTATTATATATAATTAAAGTATACATCGGTGTTTTCTATTATAATATCAATCAATTTTGAAGTTATATTTTTGCAAATATTTTATTCTAATAACATTAAAATTATAAAAAAGTTAATTATAAAGATTCGAAGTAATTGTTTGACATAAAATTATATCTTTGTAAAATATTCAGTTTTACGTTATCATACTTTTTATTTTTATGCACATAATAATGAGACCAATTTGGTGTAAAGAAAATGTACCCAGCAAACACAAAATATAACTGCTATGTTACATGTATATAATACTATATAACGTGCATGTTACATGTAACATATACGGTAATTTCTCACTCATAGATGTAACATTTGTAATATGACATATGTTATTTATATATTGTAATTACATCCCAGATAGCATCGATATTGTAGGATGCCGAAAGATAATATTTCGCTAAGTCATTATCCTATCTATAATTACAATAAATAATAGAATCCATAAGTGGGAAATTACAACTAACGTGTATGTTACATGTTACATGCACGTTATTTACGTGTTATATAGCAATTATAATGTTTGCTGGGCAGTTGCTTCTTGAAAATTACATATACGTCTTTTGCAACTGTGTTTTCTTTGCACCTATTGATTGGTCTTATTATTCCGTGCATAAAAAGTATAAATGTATAATGAAAATTGAATGTTTTACAAGATATTGTCAATTTTATAAAAGAATTGTTTACTTCAAACCTTTATAACTCAATAAGTACATAAAAAATATTTTATTAGTGTTTTGGAAAATTCTCGAGATAAGCTACAAGAATATCTAATAAAAATAGAGGGTTTTGTTTAATAAAAGTTGATCTTGAAATGACCTCTAAATTTGACCCCTACGTCAAAGTAAATAAGGTCACCATAAAATATCTTATTTTTCCTAGAAACAATTTTTATATATAACAATATAAAATTATATAGAAATATATAAAATTATACATATAATTGCAAAATTAAATATGAAATATGTCTATATATAATTAGATAAAAGAGCTTTTTATATACATATACTTATATAAATATATATATATATATATATATATATATATATATATATTATATATATAATAAATAAGTATTCACATATATAAATATATATAATGTTTCATATATAACTTGACATGAGATTATACATGAACTTCATAATTTATATATAAATAAATTTAATTATATATAAAATGAACATATTTCACATATAATTATGTATAATTATATAATTATTTAGATATAATTATATATAAAAAATTTTTCCCGGGTTGAACCCTGCAATTTTTATATTTTATTCATAAGACCACTATTTCTTGGACATAATTGACCGTTGCCGGACTTTTGAACCACCTTGTATATATATATATATATATATATATATATATATATGGTAGATTGTATATTTCCTTTGAAAAATACATGAAAATATGCATATATCATCAAAATATATAAAAGAGCAATATTGAAATTGTGTTCAACTACAGGTATGTCATAAAGAGACACATTTATATATGTATGTTTTACTGTCATTGACGCTTAGATGCGTGTGCGAGATGATTCGACAGTAAAAATATATTATATTGTCTGATTTCAATATGTTGAACACACTAAAATAGCTTTTTGACATATATGGATTATTATCGATAATAGCGGAATTAAAATTATCGATAATTATCGACAATTTTAGTTCCACTCAAATGAGGGCGCTAACCCGTCGGAGTTCGGCCAACGCTCCGGCATCCCCTTAATATAATATACAATGTTAATCGAGACAACCATAATCAACATCGCGGAAAATCAGCAACAATATTAGCGATAATCGACTTTGCATGCCTTTTTTAGAAAGACATTCGTGGCTGATTTAATACTTTAATTGATACTTAAATAATTCTAACACTAAAGGAAATGCTGTACAAAGTAAGGAGTCGCGAATATTAATTTTCATTAAAAATAATTAATATGAATAAAATAAATAGATGTTAAAATAATGTTAAAATAAATAAAATAGATGCTAAATTCATGTTAAAATAAATAGAATTACTAGGAACTGAGATAATTATTAAAATTATAAAATCAAAATAATTATTATGATAAAATTATCGAAAACGACGAGTATATTACGAGATATCACCATATTTTTTGTGAAAATGATTTTCGAAATAAGTAATATAAATGTGTAAATAATGCATATTTATTTGTTATGTATATATATATATATATATATATGACAAATAAATATGCATTATTTACAAATTTATATTAATTATTACTTATATTAATTATTTTTAATGAAAATTAATATTTGCGACTCCTTTCTTTGTACAGCATTTTCTTTAGTGTTAGAATTATTTAAGTATCAATTATTATATATATATACATACATATATATATATATATATATATATATATGTTTAAAAATAATTTTGACTTACCCAATATTTCGAAACAGAATGTTAACTGAAAAATAATATAGATTAAAACTATATTGTTTTAAAAATTATCAGCAGCCAATTAATGCTTTAGCAGTATGCAATATTCGAAGAAAATAATTATTCACATACACTTTATTACAATCATTATATGTACCACGATACGATTTGAAAGACCACGAAAGACTGACTGCGCTGTACGTGTCCTTATGATAAATATAATGTGTGTGTGTGTGTGTGTGTGTGTGTGTGTGTGTGTGTGTGTGTGTGTGTGTACCCTTCGCGCGGGCCGAAAAGCTAGTATATATATATATATATACACATAAGGACATCAGAAGTTTTGTTGACATAACACATTCTATTTATCATGATGACAAGTACAGAGAATCAGTCAGTCTTTCGTGATCTTTCGAACCATATCATGGTAGATATAATAATTCTAATAAAGTGTGTGTGAATAATTATATTCTTTGACCATTGCATATTACTAAAGCATTAATTTGCTGCAGTAATTTAAAATATATATAATTTTGCAGTTAACATACTGTTTCAAAATATTAGGTAAGTCAAAATAAGTTAAAAATATAAAAACATATATTTGTCTACAAATACAAAAAAAATTTAATTGTACAGTATAACGGAATTTTAAAGAATGTCCAACATATTATTATAAATAGAATAGTTTTATTCAAAATTATCTTCAAATTTCAATTCAGAGGTAATTTCAAATAATGCCGATATTATAATATTTTATAAATTGTAATGTTGAAATAATCGTGGACCCACAAAAGTTTGATAGACGAATAAATTATTTCTGAATCTTAAAAATACTATAATTTACATAACACATAATAAGTCTTATAATTGATATTTTTAATTGTCCTTTTATAACTAAATTATTAACATTCTATTTTCTACAATTTATCTGTGTAGTTATTTTTTTATAAAAAAAATATTTAAGAGTATTTTAAAATTAAAAATAACTTTTAAGTTTTGTTGAGAGATATTGAATGAAATATTTTTAACAAAAACCAAAAATCAAATATTAATTTTTGATAATATAAGTATGCTGTCTTCTAAGCTGGGCAATAGAGCCAAGGAAACGAAACGAAAAATTAATTAAACGGAACTGTATCTCAATTTGAGATCCCAAAGTTCCACATATAAATTAATTTCGAAACTTACATATGGAGAAATAAGCGAGAAAAATATAGGTCCGAAAAGTCGCTGAAGCGGGAATATGTCCATATGTAAGTTTCGAAATTAATTTATATGTGGAACTTTGGGATCTCAAATTGAGATACAGTTCCGTTTAATTAATTTTTCGTTTCGTTTCCTTGGCTCTATTGCCCAGCTTAGAAGACAGCATACTTATATTATTTATATTGAGAGCCGATAAAAATATTTTTTTCTGAGTTTATTCACGTCTTGGGCTAATCACGGCGGTATTTACTAACATCTACTAAAAAGGCAAATGAAAAATATAGGATCGAAAGGGTCTGAATAGCTTAGTTGGTAAGAGCAGTCGCCCGGAAAGTGAAAGACGCCGGTTCGTTTCCCGCTTCAGCGACTTTTCGGACCTATATTTTTCTCGCTTATTTCTCCATATGTAAGTTTCGAAATTAATTTATATGTGGAACTTTGGGATCTCAAATTGAGATACAGTTCCGTTTAATTAATTTTTCGTTTCGTTTCCTTGGCTCTATTGTCCAGCTTAGAAGACAGCATACTTATATTATTTATATTGAGAGCCGATAAAAATATTTTTTTTTGAGTTAATTTTTGATGTTGAAGATTATTTATATAATTAAGAAAAATAAAAAATATAACAATTAACTTTTAATACATATACAACATATATACAACAATATATATATACAACACTGAACAATATATATCAATATATACACAACACTAAAATACATACATACATATATATATATATATATATATATATATATAATTTTATTTTAAAAAAGTGTGCAGAATAAAAATTTGCACATTATTTCCTTACCATATATAGTATTTTACAAATTATAATAATTTTTTAATTAATAATTTTAATACTTTTTGTATTTATGTTTTTGTTTTTATTTATATACAAGAACATTATACATTTAAAAAATCTAAGCTGTATTTAATTTCTTTATTTATCTTTTGTCTACAGTGTTTTACAGATCTGAAATAAATATTCCTTTTCTTCGACATAATGATATTCCTAAAACTATTATTAAGTAGCGGATTAATTTTTACTGCTGTGACGGCTTTCATTCGCAATGAATCTTTGTGCTATCGACCATCAAGTAATATAAAACCAATGCATTACGATATCAAACTTACCTCATTTATTGAAGGAAATATTTTCCAAGGAGAATACAATATCAGCATAAACATTCTTGACAAAACGCAAGACATATATTTACATTCAGAAAAATTATGT